TATGTAATTTCATCTGTGGGACCTGAAGATCATATAAATCGCAAATATTCCTTTAAGGTAAATTTACTATTTGCAGAATATATAGTTTCTTTTAAGCAATCAGATATGTTGCCTTTTGAGATATATATTTTAAAGATTATAGGTCTCCCTTTATATTTAATGAAAAAATAGAATTGAAACATCTCTGTACCATTTTTTTTAATATAGTCTTGATATTTTCTTGAAAAGATGTCATAGTTGGTTTTCTGATTCATTGGAAAAACTTGCAACTGAAACAATATCTTAAATGTCTTTGGGTAGATTTTGCAAAACAATAGGTTTTGGACTTTTCTTTTCCTTGACTGGGCCCTGAATTGAGCCAGTCTGGGATGATTCCAATTGGCAAATTACCTGACAAATTCTAATTCTATAGTTAGAATAATGTATTTATAAATATTATGTAGCATGTTTTTAAAAGCTCATTACATAAAGTGGATGGCTTCTCAAATTCTGCAATAGTAGTCTACACAACTCTAAACTTTTACCCTTGTTGCATATGCAATATTTTTTTCCTGCTTATCATCATCAGGAATTGGATTAGTTTTAACACAACTTGCATTAGTTTGACTGTATTTGGAAAATCATTTCAACCTATAGTTAGATTTAGGCTCTGTTGATATTAGTTAGTATAGTATTTAGTACTCTGGCTTAACATTAAAACCCAGAAACATATAATGCTGAGTTTTATAAGTAATGTACATATGAATTTATTAGCTTATTTGGTGTTCTTAGCTTATTTGGTGTTCTTCGATACAAAAAGATTAAGTCCAAAAATGATTGTAAAAAGTGGATGGAAATATCAATTTGTTTTGCAGTAGGATTTTTTCCACTGCCAAAAGATTCCTATCAGAAAAAAGCAACTTTGTTAATATAATACATTTTACCTAATTGATAAGAGATGGTATATTGTGGTTGGAAGTATGTTTAATTAAAAAGAAGTCAAAAATATATGCCATCCATATTTGTATTCTTCTTTCCAAAAAGAATTAGATGTTACATTATATATATAACCCTAAACATTTTGGCTAAGTGTTTTACAATGGAAAAGTGATTTAAGGTAGCTACATGGCTATCTTCCTTCATTTTGTTTCATAAACTGTAATTAGCACTGAATGTGCTTACTTTATGTTTCATAAATAATCATAAACCTAAACCACAGTTCTTCCAGTTGCAAAGTAGTTTGTTGGTTTCATTATGTGTGTGCATAATGCTAACCCACAAACTGCACCCAAGTGAAAAGTCAGGCAGAGTGCCTCCAGAAGAGATAATAGATTTATTTATCTATAATATAGTCCCAAAAGTTTAATTACTATGGGTGGTTAATTAGGTGATATTACATTTTACCAGTGTACATATTTTATAGATGGAAGAAAGTGCCATTGAATTACCTGCAATGAATACATAATTCTAACTTCATCATAAAATATGTATGCTAAATTATTCTCTAGAAAGTTGTATATTATTGATTAGTAAAATAAATTACATGCTCCATATTTCACAGATATAAATGTTCAAATCATTTGTGATCCCGAAGATAAAAATAGAGATAGATGAGTTAGGCTCACTGACCATTTGCCCATGATATATACTGTGAACCTTCAGACTAACAGTTTAGAACAGTAAAATATAAAAACTAGTACATAATAAAAGAAAGGCATGTTGCAGACCCCATCCACAAAATAATGTATCTGATGGGAGACTAGAAGGTAGCATTTTTCTGCCACAGTACATAATTCTCTGGAAGATCATTGCTCCCAAGGCCGGGTTAACCCTGATCTTGCTGGTCTTCCAGAAGAGCCTGAAAACTTGGCTTGCATCTGGTCTGGGGATCCCATGACATGGGAATGGGACCTGCTAAGTGGCTGTATTGCTAGGGGAATAGAATGCACCCCCTTGTTGGTGTATGGGGTTTTTTTGTAATGTTTTTTTTTTAAAAAATTTTTTTAAATGTTATTGGGTTACAGGTAGTCCTTGACTTACGACCACAGTTGAGCCCAAAATTTATGTTGCTAAGTGAGACATTTCTTAAGTGAATTTTTGCCCCATTTAATAACCTTTCTTGCCACAGTTGTTAAGTGAATCACTGTAGTTGTTAAGTTAGTAACACAATTGTTAAGCGAATCTGGCTTCCCCATTGACTTTGCTAGTCAGAAGGTTGCAAAAGGTGATCACATGATCCCAGGAAACTGCAGCCGTCATAAATACATGCCAGTTGTCAAGCGCCTGAATTTTAATCATATGACCATGGGGTTGCTGCATCATCATAAGTGTGGAAAATGGTTGTAAGTCATTTTTTTCAGTGCCGTTGTAAGTTTGAATGGTCACTAATTGAACTGTGGCAAGTCGAGGACTATCAGTATTTTGTTGTATTTAGTGTATTTAACTTTGTATGTCACTCAGATTTATTTATGTGAATTGCATGACTAAATTGACCAATAAATAAAATAAAAAATAGATTGAATAAAAATAGAGCAGTCAATGAAAATGAAAACTGTTTAAAAAACACAATATCAATATAATATACAGTTCAAACCTCACCTCCATTGGTCTTTGTGAACGCTATATAGCTGCAACCCCCTACAAAATAATTCACTTTTCGCTACTTTATGGAGGTATGTCCCTGTTGAAACAAATCTCATTTCTAAGAGGTCATAGAGACCATGACAGAGACACTTGACCTTTGGACCCCGACCGATGTAAATTCTCACATACTGGGTATAGATAATATCTCTAGATGGGATGAACTCATTTGATAGGATAGCTCTACCTGAAAAAGGCATTCCTGCAGATAGCTAGGAGCCAAGCCATTGAGGGCACTAAAAGTCAAAATCAATATTTTGAATTGTATATGGAGACTGTAGATAACCCATTCAGTGCCTCAGTATATGGAATAATAGCTGTAGCAGTTTTCACTCTCCATCATCTCAGGAGTTGCATTCTTCACCAACTGCAGTTTCGATATAGTCTCTCAAGATGACCCAGTTGAGAGTAAACTGCAGTAGTCTAACTTAAGGCTCATATCTGCATGAATTTCTGTTGCTAATGTTTATAACAGTAGCATACTCATGCATTATAATTTGCTATTTATAGGAAGAAATGGTGGAATAAACAATTTAGTTTTCTCATTTCTTTGGTGGAAAATGTAGTGTCTTAATGAATCCGTAAAAGCAGTCTTTCAGATTGGTTGTAATGATGCATTCCCTTTCTCTCTTCTATGTCCTAAGTCCTGAGCCCAGGGTAATTTATTTTCCATTGTTGTATCTAAATCAGTTTATGTATTAATCTAAATTATTTCATCTTTGAAGTCAAATACTTCTGTTTAATACTTTGCATTATTTGTAAAAATGTAGGCAGTTCTTTTCCAAATGTTTATTGTCACAACTACTACTTTCAGAATTATTTATTCCTTGCATACTTTGACTTTATTTCATGGATAATATTCCAATAAATAGATTGATATTAAATATTAGTAGTGCAATTCCGTATAGTTACTTAGAACTAAAACACCAGGATTTATTCCCATTGTCTTTTCAAATGAAGTAAAACAATTCCCAATTGCTTTCCATTTAAAAATTAGAGAATTTTTTTATCCCAGATTTAATGTAAGCTAGCATATCTGAAACACATTGGTACTTTGAAAAATACCCCACTATTAACCCTTCCTTCCTTCCTTCCTTCCTTCCTTCCTTCCTTCCTTCCTTCCTTCCTTCCTTCCTTCCTTCCTTCCTTCCTTCCATCCATCCATCCATCCATCCATCCATAAACTTTTTTTGTCTGCAAGAATCTATAGAATCCAATATTTATTCTTTATTCTGTAGCCAGAAAGCCTAGAGCCTACATTACATAAGCTAATTTGTGTAATATTGGTTCGTATCCTGTATTGCATATGAAAACAATTAAAATAATATGTTGCACATTTCTTATCTTAGGAGACTGCACTGATTTTTCTTGGATGGATGAAAATCTTAAAGGCACATTGCTAGTAATTACTTGCTCTTTCTGTGCTTTCTATTTAACTGTCTTCTTAACTGATTCCTTAATGTTTCCATTCAGGATTATCAATTTGATTTTATTTAGCAGTCCTGCTTTTTTTTTAGTTTCAAGTATTTGCGTGAGAAAAATTGTGAAGGAAAATTAAGTGAACTTCAGAAGAGTTAAGATTCCATGCAGTCATTTTATAAAAAGAGTGAATGACTGTTTCTAAGGGTTTGAATTTACACCAAATTCCTATTAATGATTTAGGCTTCCATCTTTTTAACTTTTTCGACTTTGTTCTTGTTCTGTTCTTATTGATGTGTGCTTTGGGTTTGTTCTCCATTTTTTCTTCTGTGCAATATGGGAAAGAGACTGCCTTTCCTTCTCCCTCTTTCCAGAATAAGGGCATCTGAATGCATGAATAGGTACCAAATATCACTTTTTCATCCCTATTGTGAATGTGTATGTGATGTATTTAAAAATGGTTGTAAATTAGAACTATTTATCCCAGTTTATGGCTCACAAAACTCTTGTGTGTTTTACTGTTACTGATTGTCTTTGCACTTACAATCATAGCTTTTTTATGTTGCTTATTTGGTGTGCTGCTAAGAGATAACTGGCTTATATTTAGACATTGCTGTTTTATGCTATCAGTTACACATGGTGGAGATAGTCCTTCTAGTGGCAGGGTTTGCTGATAACACGACATGTGTTGCTTACTCTAATTGTGTAAGCTTGCTTTCTTTTGCCACCAAATGTGGATATTGGCAAAGTTCTGCTTTCTGCTTTTCTAACTAGACTATCAATGAAAAGGTTGTTCTACAGTCCCTCATCTGGAGAAAGTAGTTTAGGAGCCAATCAATCTTTATTATGATTGTATAACCCATCTTAAAATTCAGAAAGCCCATAACCAATATCAAGCATAATTTATTTATTGTTACTAGTACAAGCTGCAAATGGCTCATCAGATCAGTTATGGTTCCTTTGGTCATTCCCACCATTACTTGGATAACTATGGTAATTCTAAAACAGGGGTTTTCAAACTTGGCCCTTTTATGACTTGTGGACTTCAACTCCCAGAATTCCTCAGCCAGCCATGCTGGGAGTTGAAGTCCACAAGTCATAAAAGGGCCAAGTTTGAAGGCCCCTGTTCTAGGATATCCTGACCAGTATTGACCACGTTATTGTCACTAATTGCATAAAACAATGAAGAAGCTCACAGCTACAATGTCTATATACAGGAAACCAGTATTTTTTAAATAATTTCATCTAAATGAAAAGTAACCCACATTCTGACATTTTCAGTACTGATCTCTAAAAGTAGCATTCACCAAATACTGCTTATAGTGGGAGATTTGATTTTAGTCAATATATCTGCATTAATTAATTAAATTAATTAATCCATCCATCCATCCAATTTTGAAACTGCTCACTTCCCTCACATAATAATAATAATAGTAATAGTAATAGTAATAGTAATAGTAATAGTAAAGTTGGATGGGACCTTGGAGGTCATCTAGTCCAACTCCCTGCTAAGGCAGGAAACCCTATACCATTTCGGACAAATGGCTGTCCAGTCTCTTCTTAAAAACTTCCAGTGTTGGAGCATTCACCGCTTCTGGAGGCAGGTTGTTCCACTGGTTAATTGTTCTCACTGTCAGAAAGTTTCTCCTTAGTTCCAGGTTGCTTCTCTCCTTGATTAGTTTCCACCCGTTGCTTCTTGTCCTGCCTCCAGGCGCTTTGGAAAGAACAAGAAGCAACAGGTGGAAGGACTCTTTATCTCTATGATTTGGGATAGTTGTCTTTAAGAGGTTTTCAAGGTTTGCTAATGGCTAGACATTTTAATCTCAGTCATTAATAAACATATATAGATAAACCACATTTACAAAAGAGACAATAAAAAAACTAAAAAAGGAACAAAAAAACAGAATACATATCTCCAACAGCCTACACCCAGATAAACAGGGATTAACACCAGACAAACAATCTAGCAGAAAACAATAATCTAAATCAAAGAACTACTAAGGAGAAAAGCATACATCAACATGTGTAGGGCAAGCTACTGTATATAAACAGAGTGTAAAACCAATACTTATTAGCACTGACAGTGTTACATAGTTCGGTAATAAAACATCTGCAAGAAAACAACCAAGCTCAGAGACAGTGGCGTAGCGTGGGTTGTCAGCACCCGGGGCAAGGCAAGTAATTTGCGCCCCCCCTCCACAGTGGGTGGCGACCCGGCGGCTCGGATCGAATTCGCACAGGCAGGGGCAGAGAGCTGCGAGTGCGAGCGCGCCCACCCAGATGTTGCGCCCGGTGCGGCCGGCTCCCCCTGCACCCCCCACGCTACGCCTCTGCTCAGAGAGAACCCAGGAGCTCACAGTAAAAAAGATTAGAATCACCAACATCTACCTTGACAATGTGCACTAGTAAACTATGTATATATGTGTGAATAGATTTGCCTAAAGAAGGTTAAGTGGAACTCAGGGCCTGAATATCTTGATGAACATTTCAAGAAAATGAGAAGCTTTCAGTTCTTTGTTTTCATGTATATACATATATGAGCAACCTGAAAGTTGTGTTACATTTGCCAAAAAGATAAAAGTAGTTCCTTTTGTCATGGATTTTAACTGTGAATTCTGCCAATTTATAAGTGCAACTTGCTAGCTTTATTTATTTATCCACACATTTTCCTCTGATGCTAAAGCTCTATGTTTGATATAGTGTTACTATATGCCTCTATAATAAAACAGATTTAGTTGTGGCATTAAGTTCCCTTCCTTGTCTTTGCTAATGTGGCATGTATGTAGTAGCATCATAATTTGAACTAATCCGTATGATGTTCCCTCTTGTTCTGATTTCCCCCAAATACTGTACTCTGCCCTGTGTTTCACTGAATGTTGTGGCTGCCTGCAGCATGGCATGTAAATCAACTCTAATAAGAAACAAATTTTTGTACTTAGCTTGCCCCAAATGTGATGTGATCCAGAAGGTGCTAACTATCACTTTTAAAAATGGTATTGCACAGTAAAATAGTGTATTCAAAGTGGTGATAACCAATCTCAGTATCTGGCAACAGTTTTATAACAGTTTTATATTTTAATAAAAACAGAAAATAACTCTTTAAAAATATTCATTCCAATAAAAATTGATAGTATTAAAGATTTTTAATTTTCTTCTTCTCAATATACTATTCTTTACATAGCAATATAATATTTATAATTTCAGCCAAAGAATGAGAAAACTCTGCTGGCCTGTCAGTGTAATTTTTGCCATCCATTTTCTTGAGATAAGAGGAATGTTATAAAATGTTAAGTTACTGATACAAAGGCCAGAACCAAGCTGTGATATCATTGGAATTGTATGAAAAAAAAAGTCCCAGAAGTTTATCCTATTATATAGAAACCATCAAGGCTGTACTGTAGTGATTTTGATGGTACCACCTTATATTTTTGTAACATAGGCCCTATTGATTATTTAAAACATTTTTCAATTTAAGTAGCTGCTGCTCTTTCAAAAACATGGGATTTTCTTCTTTGATATTGGCTAAAGTGCCTCAATCTCTCTCTGTTTACAGGCTATCCATACAGGCATGAGGGCTTATATTTATAATAAGAGTTCTGTTATTGGCTCTCAGGCAGAACATTCAGGGATGCGCACGTACTACTTTAGTGCAGATACTCAAGAAGATATGAATGACTGGATCCATGCAATGAATCAAGCTGCTCTTATGCAAAGCCATCTTTCACCAAAGAGGCAAGTTCACGTATTTATATATGTTTGTAATGAACAATATATTTTCAGTCATACTTAAAAAACATTGTCTTTTTTGTTAAAAACCCTCTTTGACTTTTTAATATTAAAGTATTAGATGTCACTGCCACCTGCAGAAGGCTGTGCCCATTTATTTACAATAATGAGCAATAATTTCATTCTGAAAACCTTGCCAAGAAAAACTGCAAGGACTAGTCCAGGAACTCCCAGGGGTCAATATAGACCTGGATGCTAAATATACCTTAAATATAAATATTTAAAACTTCACACAAGTCTGCCTATAATTAAAAATCTCTCCCATTTTTCTTTCTTTAAGATTGCATTAAATTTAATTCTTTAGTTTGGTGATTTCTGTATCTGAAAGGATTTCTGTAATGACGTGAAGGTAATTATTAAAAGGTAAATGTAAAAAGAAATAATTATCAAGCATTAGCAAAGACTGAATTTGGAATCAATGGGAAAACGGCAGAAACGTTGAGTGAACATTTATTGAATTAATTGTATTGACAAGGTGAATTTCATGTCAAAAGTTTTTTTTAAAAGAATCTTTCATAAATAAATAAATAATAAACATATGTATTTGAGGGGTCCTTGGTGCTCTCTGAGCTTGCTTGTTTTCTTGCAGATGTTTTATTACCCAAACTAGGTAACATCAGAGCATCAAGGACCCCTCATGTCAACCCTGAGCAACAAATATTCTCCTTTATTAATACTTATGTATTTTCAGTCATTTAAAATGCTCTCTCAAGCCATTTACAAAGTGTTTAAAATAGATGTTTTAAGTTGTTGTAGTTCAGATACTATGATACTAACAATGTGAATGCCAGAGACTGCAGGACTCCAGATCCTGTGGATTAGTAAGAACCATGTTCATCTGGCAAAAGAAAATACTAAAGGCAGAGGGAGTATTTTAGTTTTTCTTATTGTTTAAAAACCCTTTATCTGAAATTTTCATAGGATCATAGATAAGTGATAACAGGCTGCAGAAAGATAAGAACTTTTATTTTCTGGGTTGAAAACAAGTTCTCTATATATTTTTGGCTACCTAAATATTCTTCTTTTGTTAAAATAAAATATAAAAATAGATATTCTACAAATGTATATTTATTCATACTAACCCTCCCAATCCTTGAAATAACTATCTTAGGAGGCAGATTTTATAGCAACTATTTAAATAAGTTTCTTCTTAAGGAAGTAAGGATAATCATTTTAGTAGGTCTTAAAAATGGTTTGTTTTATTAAAGTTCCATGCAAGCAATATGTTAGGATAATAGATTCTGTAGTCCTGATTGCCTGTTCCTCAATATTATTCCGAAATCCTTGCCTTGCCTTTAAAATGATCAGTCAAAAAGTAAGCAGTAACAGGAGCTGTTTTGAATGTAGCACTGATGGGACAACACTGAGTAACTTTACTCGGTTTCCTTCCTCGTCAAATAAATAATTGCATGGGCCACCAATGGAAAGCAGATTTCCTGTTCAGAGGTCAAAGGCACTAGGTAGAAATTGGGAGACTGTGAGTTCTAGTCCCACCTGGGCGTAAAGCCAGCTGGGTGTCCTTGGCAGTCACACTCAGCCCTAGGAAGAAGGCAAGGGCATACCACATCTGAAAAACCTTGTCAGGAAAACTGCAGGGACTAATTTAGTCAAAAATTACTTAAAGGAAAAAAAGAGAAAGAGGGATATTTTAATAATTAAGAGGAAAGGCTCCATTTTGTAACCTTTTAGTCATTCTAGTCGCATTATGTCTATTTATAATGTATACAGTATGCATAAAGAATATGTGTATATTCTAGTCTTATCACATCTGGAGTCATCAATTTGGGTAAGCTGCTTTAGTCACTACAATGAACAATAAATATGTAAATTAAAATATACATTTTTAAATAAAAAAGTACTTAAATATGAGGCGATCTTAAAGAATATAAGTGAAGAACCACCCCCCATTGGGACCCATGCCAACCAGCAAAGCCAGGTTTTAAGGCCTTGTGGAAGGCCAAAAGAGCGGGGGCGTATCTCATCTCGCCACCAAATGTTAGGTTTGCACATCATGCTAATGCACTGTGCTACTCTTGTACATGTTGATTCTTCTTAACCATTGCATTCCAACTGACAAAGTTACAAGGGAAATTGAGACTTCTAAAACTTATATAAAACAAAATTAATTGTAGACATTTTTAATAAGCCTATTTTGATTATGAGAATGCCGTTTTCATAAGATTTTGAAAGGGGTTTAAAGGTGAGGAATTAAACGGCCTGGGATTGGAAACTATTTGCAGCCTCTGCAATAAAACAAAAACTGCTCCATTGAATTATAAAATCTGAGCAAACATAAGTGATTCAAAATACTGTGCTGACTTTCGTGCCTGTGGATTTCTTTTTTTTCCTTAGAGGAACTGGAAAAACAGATCAGCATGCTGTCCCTCAACCTAATCATATTGATGCCTACAAAGAAGTTACAAAATTAGAACCTGCTGACGCAAAAAGAGGCTACAGAAAATCACCCGAAATGTCCGCATATGGCAAACACGAAGAAATGAAAAAAGGAAGAGATGATGAACATTACACTGCAAGGAAGAATGCTGTGGATTCCAAATGGGAGAAACCTAAACATGTAATAGAACCGGGTGGAACACTGAATCCTGCCTCAAGTATCTCTCGGCCTCAAGCGACTCAGACTCTTGAGAAGAATGGAATGCCTCCAAGTTCATTAAATGCAGGTCCAGTAGAGCAGAATGGTATCAGTGTCTATAAAAGAGGCTTTATTCCCAGATCAACACAAAATAAAGAGACACAAAGGAAAAGTAATATGACTCACATAGAACATTGGGTAAAAGTCCAGAAAGGAGACACAAAAAGGTTAGTAAGCTGGGACTGTTTGTTCTATATTTCATTGTTTTAAAGTAGAGGTTTGGTATTTTTCTTGACTCCCTCAGTTAATAATGCTGATTGCCTAAGTCCCCTTTCTAGTACAATTATATAGGAGCAGCAGTAACCTTTGGAAGAGCTCTGTGGGTCTACATAGAGCCTCAGGTTATACTGTATACCTTTGCTCTTTTGTTCTTGAAAAAAATCTTTTTGGGGAATTTAGGAATTAGAATGTGCAGATCAATGTAACTCCAATCTATCTGAGTATCATATATATTCATACAACATTTAATTTGTTTTTTCCCCCACCAAATTGTTTAAAAAGAATAATTCAGAGCAGTAAGTGTTATATACCGTGTTTCCCTGAAAGTAAAGCCTACCCCGAAAATAAGCCCTAGCTTGATTTTTTGGGGGTGAGCCCAATATAAGCCCTATCCCAAAAATAAGCCCTAGTTTGGGGGTGAGGCGCACACTTAAAAATCAAGCTAGGGCGGGGATAGGGGTGTGGATCTGCCCCACACGCCCCGCACCCACTTACCTTGCAACCAGGCCTCTCCTCACCGATCCACTTCTTCTGCGGCCTCCTCTGCAGCCAGGCCTGCATTTCTCAGTCACAGGCCTTTCTGGAAGGCCTGTGCAGCCAAGAACTAAGCTATGGATTCAATCCATAGCTCGGTTCTGCAAGACCTCTGTAGCTGAGGACCAAGCTATGGATTCAATCCATAGCTCGGTACTCGGCTGCATAGGCCTTCCAGAAAGGCCTGACTGCAAAATGTAGGCCGGAATGCAGCTGCAGAATGAAGCTGCTCCTTCAGCCCCAGAAGAAGTGGACCTACTGGGTGAGGCTGTCTGTGCCAGAGATAAGTAAGACATCCTAGAACTAAGGAGAAACTTCCTGACAGTTAGAACAATTAACCAGTGGAACAACCTGCCTCCAGAAGTGGTGAATGCTCCAACACTGGAAGTTTTTAAGAAGAGACTGGACAGCCATTTGTCCGAAATGGTATAGGGTTTCCTGCCTGAGCAGGGGGTTGGACTAGATGACCTCCAAGGTCCCTTCCAACTTTATTATNAAAAAAAAAAAAAAAGACCCGGTCTTATTTTCGTGGAAACACGGTAGATTTGGGATGCAAGTTCTTCAGCATATCTTGGAAAGGAAAGTGGTAGTGGTAGAAAATACCTACAAAACTAGATTGGGCATCACATATAAAGAAAGTGATTTTTCATATTATAAAGTCTAGAAAATTGGATGGGAGAAAGAAATGTCTAATGGTCCAGTTTAAAAATCAGAACTATGAAAGTTTCCAATCTCCTATCTAACTGTTCATCAAGGATCTCATAGATTGAGAAATTAACTGAAAAAAGAAAGCAAGTTGAACCTTGTTATCTTTTACCTCTTCAATCCATTTTGGCTTTGTATATTTTATAGCTTGTGTAGACCGTAACTTTGGTCTAAAATATAGATTTGTGTTTATTGAGGCCGTCAATAATTTTTGTTCATTCTTATTTGTACTCTTTTGTAACTTCATTTTGGGCAAGAGATCATGCTTACCACTCTTAATTACTGTATACTATTGATTGTAATTAGGTTTTACAAGGCCTTCCTTGACTCTTCTTGAGACATAAACTCAAGATTTTTCTCTAAAAACATGACAGAAGGTTAACCATCTATTAATTGTGCAAAAGATTAGACTATATAAATTTATGACTTGTCACACTTTTTAATTTTTTGTCTTGAACTATAAACAATAACTCACATGAAGCCAAGTAATGAAATTATATATTTACAATTGGACAGCAACTTCAATTACTTTCTTCATTTTTGATGAACATCATATTCCAGCAATAGCTTCTCAGGATAAGATCAATGTAAATAAATAATTATATATAGGTAAGAGAGCTTTCTCCACACTTAAATTCAGTGTATTTATACTGATTGAGTATTAAGCTCTGAAATTTCTTTTTTTCAACTGGAGTTGATAAAATATTTTGTTGAGTGGTATACTCCACCACCTAGTGGTAAGTGTTCCTGGTGAATGAATACAAAATTATAGTGACACATAATTTGCTATAGTTATGTTTTTTTAAATAATGGAGGGAATTCCTATAAATATTGTTTTGCATGGATCATACACTCTGACCCATTGTTATCTATATTCCAAAATTTGCAAAAATCTGTCCACCAAAATCTGTTCTAAACTTCAATTTTGCAAATGTTTGGCTTTTTAATAAGAGTTGTTTTTTGCTTAATCCCTAACAAAGTCACTTTCTTACAGTCTTGCATCTGACCAGACTCTTACTCGCCAAGTACCAAGCCATTCTGTATCCTTTTCTGAAAATTACCATACTTTGCCAAAGAATACTAGGCAACCTTCTGGAAGCTCCCCTCCCTCAAACCGTGATTTGCCAAGTGACTACAAATATGCTCAAGATCGAATAAGCCACCTGAAGATGTCCCATGATGAGAGAAAAGCTAACAAAGATGGTACCGTTTGGCAGCTGTATGAATGGCAACAAAGAAAGCAGTTTAAACATGGGAGCCCAACTGCTCCAGTTTATATTAGTTCTCCAGACTTTACAGATAGTAGTAAGGGAAGAAGTTCATTAGAAGTTCCACGTTCAGTTTCAGTTCCCCCTTCCCCATCTGACATACCTCCACCAGGACCCCCCAAAGTTTTTATATCACGAAGACCACACACTCCTGCAGAAAGGGTTACTGTCAAACCATCTGAGGAGAGACAAACAATAGACGTTCCTTTTGTTGGCTCACCAAGGAAGATTCGAAACCATACTGCAAAAGTGAGTAAATAGAAAAAACTTGTTTTTTCTAGTTTACTAATCAGTTAATTTAAATTAAATTACCATGCTAGATAATCTGCAGTTTATCTGATAATTGGGTACTGTAAAGTTGTATGTTATCTCCTGCCACTTTCTTATCAAGGTCAGGTCCTCTGATTTTCAGCATGTAGCTAGTTATAGGTTTAGAGAAACAAGATTCATGGGATATGAGCTTTAATTGCTCATTAGTCTAAAGTTATCTGAATGAGAGCTGAATATTGTCACTTCTTGAGAGACAGAAGGATGAGCACACTGCACGATTATAAGAATGTTGCATTTAATTTCATTGATTTCAATAAATTGTCCGTGAGTAAGCTTTTGAAAATATAGCTCATTGAATCAGGCTTTAATCAGTTAGAACAAAAATATTTGTTATAAGCAAAACGTTTCCACCAATAGTTCTTTAAACAGACATACCATATAAAAAAATCAGTGACAAAGCCATTTTGTAGAAAGATATATACAAAGAAAGAAAAAGTGCGTATTTTGTAAAATAACATGTTGTGTAATTTAATTAACAAATTAACATTTCCTTGTTTAGGAAGAAAGTTGTGTAAATCAGTTCAGACACAGTGGCTAGGAAAAGCGTAAAAGAATAGAAAAATATTTTTCCCACTTGAAACGTCTCATTCATGCTGCTTTTCAATTTCTACAGAACTCTCTACACATAGATAGACGTTCCATGCCTACAATGGGATATATGACCCATACTGTAAGTGCTCCAAGTTTGCATGGGAAATCGGTAAGCTATATTGGCTATATATGTTTCCTTGTCTATGTATTAGTAGATTCCGATAGAACCTCTAAGGGTGTCTGAACCTTTATTGACTTTTCATGTCATATTGATAGAATGAAGTAATTTGAACTTCCTGTTATTAATGGTGCCCTTTTTCATTGCTACTTAAGGAGAACTGTAAATAGAATTCCAATAGAGGGATTGGCCCTGTTGTGTGTGTTGTTACATACTTTTTTAGCCTTCAAGCAAAAGTAGAAAAATGTAACTGCTCAGTCATGTCAAATAAACATTTTTATTGGCGTGTGAAGTAAAGATTTTTAACTATGATGGCTCTCCCTGAAACTTGCTAATTTCCTCTTTACGATGTGTCCAAATACCTGCAGCCTGAAGAGCTAACATTGCTTCTCATTCGATTAAGGAGACATCAGGCTAAGTTGGCTCATATACGAAATTACACAATCGCCCAATTACTGCAGCACTTGCCAACTAATTCCACTTATCAGGTCAGCTGCTAATTGGCTCCTCTGTGCTGTATATGATGTTCTGTGACTCTGCAAGTGCTTCACCGGTGCCATGCTTGAGTCCGTGCTTTCTTGCCCATTCTTAAGTCTGTTCAAGTCCCTGGATCATTCATAATTTTACTTTGCTCCTGCGCGCAAATAATTATCAGCATTTTTATACTATGGGGGCTGTGGCACATGAGTAACTGCATTTTGACTATTATTTTGCTTCAGTGTTATTTTTGTGAATGCTGCATTTTGTTCTAAAACAAAACCTGTTTAAAAAGTAAGCTATTGTTTGGCAGTTTCATCTGTTTTGACTGAAAAAAGTAAGCCGTTCTGATAATTTACAGTGGAAACTATCATTTATCAAACCTGCTTTTCTCTCTCTCTGAGTTATGTATTTTAACAATGAGGGAAGGTCTAAATCAGGGGTAGGCAACCTTGGCTCTTTTATGAATCGTGGACTTCAACTCCCAGAATTCCTGAGCCAGCCATGGAATTCTGGGAGTTGAAGTCCATGATTCATAAAAGAGCCAAGGTTGCCTACCCTTGGTCTAAATACACCAGGATAGTCACATATTCTACTTATTTGAAAGGATGGTGGCCCTGAATTGTGGACAATCCCACCAAAAGTGAGAGTACAAGTTATCCTTGACTTGCAACCATTCATTTAGCTACCATTCAAAGTTGCAACAGCGCTGAAAAAAGTGACGTATGCCCAATCGTCGCATTTACGACTGTCACAGCATCACCATGATCACATGACCAAAATTTGAGCGCTTGGCAACCGGCATGTATTTACAACTGTGGCAATGTCTTGGGGTCATGTGATTGCCTTTTGCAACCTTTCCAGCTGGCTTCTGACAAAATGGGGGAAGCCAGATTCATTTAACGACTGTGACAAAAAAGGATGCAATATTGGGCATGTCTCACCTAACTGGTTAGTTTAGCAATAGAAATTCTGGCCCCAATGGTGGTTGTAAATTGAGGACTGCTTGTAGGCATATTATTCACACAGGCAAAACCCTGCAGAGTATCCAGCTTCTTCACTATGTCAGCCTGGGATGGCCAATGCTAGTTGAGGCTAATCTTAGAGGTTTACCATTCCCGTCACCAATGTATGAGTGGGTGTCTCACATACACGCACGCACACACACACACACACACCAGAAGCCAGACTCCAAAAAATATACATCAGCTAAACTAATAACTTCTTAATGGAAATATTTGCTGGTAAGATAAGGTACCAAATTTTCAAAATTAATTGATTGTCATTCTGCTGTTATTGTTCATTTTTGCTCACACATATTCGCTCTCTCGTATTTGCTCTATTTTATTAGAAGCCACATTCCCAAAAAAGGGGGCAGGAACAACATTTATTATTTATTTATGAAATTTCTTTACAGTCCATCTTATCTAGTGACTCTGGGACGTTTACAAACAACGTAATAAAACAATATAAAAGGGTAGCTAAAAGCACAAATGAAACCAAAATTAGAAGCAAGGGTAAAATTTGCAAGTTAAGAATAAAAATCAAGGTTAAAAAAATCATGAAGCTAAAAGGTTAATAAGGCAGTGAGAGCGCCCTCATGCCAGCAACCATCCCCAGGGTTGCGTAACACTCTTAGACATCCATGTTAATTGGCAGAATCAGAACTTAACACTGGGGGCTCATGTCATTTTTTTTGTATATTTATAATAAGACATATTTTTTTAAAAAATATTATGATTATGAATTCAGTAGAGAAGTGTGCAAACCAATCTTTAGCGGTACCTGGTGGTTACTGATATTTGCATTTTTTTCATTTCTTTGATTTCAACAATTTAAGAATTTGAAATTGTTGAAACCAAATCAGCAAAAGTAAAATCAAATCAGCAAATGTAAAATGACTGATTTATATATATTTATTTGGGGGGGAAAGCTTTCCTTTTTCTCTTGGGTACATGTGGCATATTTCAGAATTATGTCATTTCTTCATGAATATATTGGTGGTTCTTTTGCATCACAAACCAATTGCAATTAAACACAGAGAAGAGTTTCACATAGTTGCTATTTATGTAAAGCACGGAATGTCAGTTTGGACTAAATAAACTATACAGAAAATGTCAGTCATCTTTTATAATTACTTTTAGAGCTGTACAATTCTTCAGTTTTGTTTTGGATATGGTCTCACTAAATTTTTCTTACTGCAAATATACCAAAAAGGATTCTGCTTCCTAGCTAATCATTTATATGGTTACCATTCCTACTTTCAGTTGGAAACTATGCAGAATATAATTTGGGTATTTTCTTGGGGCAGGCTTGGTTCTGTGTTGGCATTATTACGACAGACATCTTCCTTCCTTTTGCCTTTTCACTCACTTTTCTATGGGAAAAATTTTTCCTCTCAGCAACTAAGCTAACTCTTACTCTTAGTTTCTACTTAGCAGCAAACTAGAACAGAATAGCTATTTGGTTTGCTGGGTGCCTCCATTTCAGAATGTTAATGAGCAATAGCAGTAGTAACCGACTGTCCATTTTTAATATGCTCAGTCACTCAATTCTTTTGGTTTCATATTATAAAGTTAACCTGAAGGAAAATGTATGCTTTAAATAATGAACTTGGTTAAAATGATGACTATGGTGTCTCATGATGAATTTAAGTAGTCTAACATTAAGTCTAACACCTAAGAGTAACTTTATTTTTAAAATAATTTCAGTGATATGGATTTATGTAGCACTGCATGTTAACCAACTTGATAGCTAACAAGCCTTTATATTTTGAGTGTTTGCTTCTATTGATTGACCTGTGCACTTCTCATTCAACTATATCAATTGGAAAAGCTAAGAACAAACTATTCTTCCTTGCTGGATAGTTTTCATTTATGTTCAATTAGATCTAAGCTGCAAAACTGATGATCACAAACAGCAGCAAAGAGAAACAGAAAAGTCAATACTCTTTGCTGCCCTATAGTGATCATCAATATTTTTCTCACTAGATTTACCACTCGAATATATAGGTTTTTTGCAGAAACTTCTAGACATATTTGATAGAGTCTAATTATATAGTAAATTATATTTTACTATTGTTATTTCCTATTATTTGCAGGCTGATGATACCTATGTCCAGCTGAAGAAAGACCTTGAATATTTGGATCTGAAGGTAAAACATATCCACATAAAATGTCATTCTAGTAAAGTTACTTTTTTCATTTTTTTCAGATATACTTCCCTAGTGGTTTATGTTATACTGTTGCTTTATAAATCACTTGCTCATTAGATTTCTTTTGTGCATAGTTAGAATAGATTATAAATAAACTATACATGGTAAAATGAAAACAAAAGTCAGTCTGTTTCTTCAGATCCAGGAAGTTCCATGGAAAAATCTGAAGTTTCTTCCTCTTATTACCAGAAGGATGGATTTCTGTGGGGTTTTTTTCTTTCTTGTCACTCCTTTCTTCAGTTGTTCCCCCTCCATTTGAACTAATATTTTAGATAGAAATGCTACAAAAGAAAGAAAGAAAGCATCCCACTTGCAGTTGTCTAAATCCAATCCACAGTAATTTTCTTTACAAATTAAATTTGCAATTTCCTAAGGAGGGCAAAATAATTATAATTAAAATTTAGTGTTGGCATACAGTCTAGTGTGGATCTCCCACTTTCAACAATTGTGCTGTAAATATAGAAGCATCTTTATTTATTTACCAGAATGTGGAAAAAAGGAGCAACTTCTCTCTGCTACTTTATGTTAGGTTGGACATACGAAAGTCATGTCTAAACATAGCTACTAATAGCTGGATTCCTTCTAGCAATAGAATGTCTAACCCTAAACAAACCAGGAATCCCCCCTCCCCCAGTGGGTATTTCTAGGGGCAGGAAAACAAATTAGAAAAAGTGTGATAACATCACACAATTGCTGCAACTTAGATATATGTTGGCATTAGGATGCAATTATATAATCACAGCATTTTTGTGGTTGTGTAACGAGATACCAGGAGCTCCATCTGTGGTTTTTTTCAGCATTACTTGAATACCAGAACCCTTACGTTGCTTTTCCCATGAAAGCCAATAGTTGGAAGCCAAAAACAAAGCCTTGACTTCAGGGTTTGGTTTATTAGAATAGAGAAAAGTAAGTGATCCTGGAACATATATAATGTTAAGTGAAGCATAGAAAAGAACACCTGCTGGTTTTTCACTTAGTTTAGAAATTAACAAGTTCTTTTGGGGGGAAGAATTCTATTTTTTCCTCCCTTTTCCAAGTGCCAGGGAATTCTAGTATTAATTTAAAGGAAAATAAAATCTGCAGAGCTTTGATGCACTTATTTGCCAAGTACTATCGCATTTTTGTGTTTTGCTGCTGAAATTCAGAAGTGTGAATTATGGGGTTCTCGGGCCATAAGAATAAATGATCACTAAACATCACACAAATCTTAATTATAGCAAGGTATGCAAAATGGTAAAGCAGTGAATAACTGCTATTAGCAAAGATAATAAGAAAACAAATCAACACTCATAGAATCTCAGCATAATAACCTTCTTTCTTATATGAAAAAGAAAATCTATATTGGTTTTAGGAAATTTTGGGTTTCACCTCTGTTCTTTTATTATCCCAGCAATATTCAGGAAGGTAATAAAACTCTTCAAGCATTAGAATGGTATATTTAGTAAAAAAAAAAAAATCCATTAAGAATCTACTACCACATTTGAAGTTTTTGAATGTGTCTCAGATAAAAACCTGACTGAGTACATTGCAATAAATCATCCTGGAGGTTGCCAAGGCATAGGTTACATTTAAAAGATCATCTTTCCCCAAGAGGAAATAGCATGGCACATTTTTTTAAAATGAAAAGTGTTAGTTAACCAGAGACTCTATTGGGATCAATTTCAGGGTCAAATTTAATCATGCTCTCAGGTTGTGAACTTAAAGGAATTTCTGTCCCGTGCATTCAGACTAAATGCCATCTTAATCTGTCATATTAGATAAAATAAGTTCTCTACATCATGTGAATTTTTAAATGGAATCCGTCTGTACAGATTTTTGTTCCAGATTTTAAGTTATCATTTTATCAAGGTGAAATTAGGAAGTGTCTCTGAGAAGTTAAGTTCAACTTCCAGGTGTTTCAGAGAAGCACCCATGTATTTTTCTTGGCAACCAGGTCTGATCCTTTCTAGCTTTTCAACAGAATCCAGAGTTGGCTGGGTGCTGCATTAAAGCTACAACACTTCATTATCTTGATAAATATTTCTGAAATTATACAAGTGCATGACTCTGTATGGGTTTCATACAAGAAAAAACAAACTAAAGTATAGAACACCCCCCCCCAAAAAAAGCCTTCCCTTGGCAGTCCAGATTTTATTGAAATATTGTACTTCTTCGTTTTCTGTACGACTTTAGAACATTTCTAAAGTCTAAGGTTATAATAGCTTGAGAATCCAGGGGATAGAGGAGTATCTGAATAATAATGTTGGAGGACTGAGTGAATCTACTCATCCTATTCAGGGGTTAGATAAAAATGAAAAATAGACTTTAGAGTCTTCTTCCTGATAGTCTAAAAGACCCTGTTAGACATTAAGTATCTTGTAGATCCTCACACCACATCAAGTAGTGGAAAGGAAATTCAGATACTTCTTTCTAGGACCTGTGCGCACCTTGGATTGGTTAGGAATGCTTTAGGTTAGATTTCTGTCTGATTCTGCATGGTTTCAGTTTATCTTGTTATACATAGGAACAATTGGGTAGGGTGGCCCAAACGTCATTTATTTTTGGGTGAATAATCCTGTGCTCCATTTGCAGTTATATTGCATAGGCTTACTAGTATTTTCAAAGTCAAAAACAAGTACAATTCGTAAATGTTTAAAACTTTTTAGAATTCAATAAATCACTCTGTTTGCACTTACAACAAAATATTCATATAGTTATTATAAATCTTTCATCTAGGTCTTACCACATAAGTTTAGGACTGGAGCATTGTTTTATTCAGAGAACAGCACTGGATAAGAAAACAAGCCTTTGTCCTTCGTCTCCTTTCTTCTTGCACCCCATTTTATGATTACTATTATTATCATGTCCTATGCTAAGCACATTGGGCTACATGCATACTCCACAGTTCTCGGTCCACAGCTACAGTGTCCACATCCTTTAATTTAAGACTGATGTTTTTTATGATATGCATCATGAAACTGCAGCAAGGAAAAAAAATGATGCTAAGAAAATCATACCATATTCTGATTTCTCTGTTTTCATAGACTTCTGATGCCAGTTTTATATATATGTAAATTTTGTTTGAAACAGATAAAAAATAATGGACCTCTGATCAACATGATTTACAAAGTGCTAAAGAGCTCAGCGCAAGGGTTACTATCCAGTATAAATGTAAGAGTGCCTGTAACAGAAATGTAATCATTCCATTGCTTTTCGAGTGGCCGTCAGTGTTGAAATAGCTAAGCATTCACAGGTGTCTCATGACACATATATAACACCAGAGCTTTTTGCAAGTTGTGTGATTTGGGGAGGCTTTCTGCAATATTATTGGCTGGCCTAATAGCGCTTTGTTTTATTTTCTCATGTGTTGGGAACTAGTGATGGTGATTCCATTTCTACCTTTACAGAAATACAAAGCATGCTCTTGTGCTTTACTTTTGTTGCCTTCACAATGACGTAATTTTACATGTCTCAGTATCTGACATAATTGCAGTTTTTTCATTTGATTTAATGTGTACCCCTAGGTTTGAGAAAGGTTGTGCTGCCTGCATATTTCTTGTATTTGTTGTATCAATTATATTCTGTTATGTCAATAATGTATGCTTCGATTTTTTTGCTGAATTTAGAATGTGTTAAAAGTACAAAATATTTTAAGCAACAGTTTTAAAAACAGTACTTTTATCACAATGAAAAGCACTCGGTCTAATTATTTACAAAAGGTAATAAGCCCTCCTGTATATGATAATGTGGCTTCCGTTTTATCAGTTTACAATGATGGAAACTTGAAGATGGAGCTGGGACAGATAGTCATTAATGGTAAATAGAACTAATAATAGTATTAATACTAGTATTTAAATAACAATTTCTGAATGTCCAAAGCATTTTAAATACATTATCTCAATAGTTCCAGACTTCTAAGGTGAGTTTAGCTTTATTATATTAGCTATATAGTTGCAATTCATAGGTAGTAATTTCCAAAGACTCAAATTAATGAATGAGATTAATTTTGAACTGATTTCCCAGCTTCCCACTTGTGTATTTCTTTTCTGCTTCCTGAAGAATGAATAGCATTTTAAAATCCTTTGTTTACCACATGATGGTTAATTCCTTGAATGAGTTTATGTAATTCTGTATAATCTTTATTGAGCTATGGGAAAAAAATGTTAGCTACAGTTTTAGAATAAAATAAAAAACATTAAAATTATCAAAGTGAAATACTCTGCAAGGTAGTGTAATACCTATATCTGTATTCTATACATGAAAAATGCAGGTAAGTTTTGCCTGGCTGCACGTGTTCAAAAACTGAGAAGCATTTCCAACAGAGGCACCAGCTTTATTATAAGCCTCTTGGCTTGGAAACTAATTTAAAATAACAGTACATGATAATATGCAATAATTTTATTTTTCTGTAAGTCACAGAAATTCGCAGGAAAATTGTAATGTAAATAAGAACTTATTGTAAATACAAGTTGTATGATATGAACATTTGCCATATTGAATTCAACCAAATTTAAAGGAATCTCTTAGACCTAGCATATGCCCATAACATATAT